CCCCCCCCCCCCCCCTCCATGACGTAGATCTCTCACTGACGGGCCACACCAGACCAGACGACGCATCAATGGGGGGCTGGCACCTCGCTCGCAGCTCGCCGGAAAAACCTACACGGCCGGCGAGAACACAGAAAAGAAACCCCCAAAAAAGAAGACCCGCCGTTACAAGCCCGGTACCGTGGCGTTACGAGAAATTCGTCGCTTTCAGGTCAGAGTCCCCTGAGCAACCGGGTGGTCATGACGGGAGGCGATCACGAGTACTTATCACGGCACAGAGTTCGACAACGCTGCTGATTCGCAAGGGTCCTTTCCAGCGCCTAGTCCGCGAGATAGCCCAATACTTCAAGGGTGACCTTCGATTCCAATCCTCGGCCATCGCTGCTTTACAAGAAGCCACCGAAGCGTACCTCGCCGGCCTATTCCACGACAGCAATCAATGTGCCATCCACGCGAAACGAGTTACAATCCAACCGAGAGATATCAAATTGGCACGACGTCTTCGGGAGTCCTCAGCACGATCATAGCAAGACCGGAGGGGCGCACAGAGCATGAGGTGCCCATCCACACCCGACCTCGCCCTCTTAGCCGTGGCGATTTCCTGCTGCCGCCCGCACGACATGAGTGAACAATAAAAGACGGAGATGCCTGGGACTTAGGAGAAGGGCCTCTTTACGGTGACCGATTGAGACCGACCATTTGGGGGGTTATGAAAGAGTGAGCCTCGGTGTGCATCGATCTCCCCGTAGTGGCGAAGGTTGCATAAGATAAAGACAGGCCTACCCTGGGGGGAGAAGGGCCCAGAAATCCACTCCCACCTCCAGCACGGCTTTTCGATGGTTCTCAGCTCTCTTCCAACTCCCCGCCGGTATGCCGGTCAAAATCTATCTCAGAGGGCGTCGACGAGTTCGAGAAAATAAACATCCCATAGCAAAGAAAGACGAGTGAACAAATAACCCCCCCAAAAGCCCAGACCAGAAGCAGACCAAAGGCCCAACGAAACACCAAGAGAAAAGGGTGGCACTCCATCCCTGGTACCTTGGCGTCGGGTAATGCCAAACTCGGGTCGCGCGCCTCCGCGGTTCGCAGGTCCAACCTCCACTCCAGGATCCTGTCAACCGTCATCGCCCGCGCGGAGTGGGACATAGTTCTCCAGTATTCGCTCTTGGCCTGGCTATTGTCTGGACGCGGAAGGGCGGCTAGTGTCAATGGCACGACAGACCCAGAGGAAGCAGCCTCAGCCACATCCCGGTCGTGAATGACGCGTCTCGATGGTTGCGAGCCACGAAAAGAGTGTCTGTGAGGTGACCGTGCTAATTGGCGCTGGCTTATGTCCCGGTTAGACGCAGGTGGGGATAGGATGTTTATTGCGTGCGGAACAGAATCCCCCTGGGTCTCGGTCGCCCTGGAGACTCCTTGGCTCGTCTCACATAGTCGACGAAGCCACCTCGTGGCCGTTTCCCCTTTTTGATCTCGGTGCCATCTTCCGCAGAGTAGGAGCGAGGCCACCTCCTGCAGCTGGTGTGTGTGATCATCGGTCCACGAAGACACGTTATCTAGATCTTTCAAAAGATGAAACGCCTGTTGACGAGCATTCTGTGACACTCGGGCGCGACGGTGGGCTCCTGCATCCTGTAGGCAGCTTCCTATACATGTATCCCGCTTCGTAGAATTCAGTTCGAGGAGGGCCACAACGGAGGGTGGTGAAGAGGCGGCCATTGCTGGGGTTGAGGTCCCGGTCAGACACAAGAGCGATAGAGACTTACGACCACCAGAGAAGGACTTTATATCCGTTTGACTGCGAGGCGACACCTCACGAAATACCTCGAGAGCGGCATCTACCTGATCCCCACTATCGGTGGACGATCATGCTGAGGTGTTCCAGAACATGGCGGATAGCGCATCCTGTGAGACGTTGAGACTGCCGCCCCAGCCTTCCGTTTCGGGAGGTGCACGCGTACGACTTGTTCGGGGAGAAAAAGGCCCCGAGAGCCCTGGTGCCCTCGCAGATACATTTGCGGACACTGATCTATCATGGCAACGTCGCTACACTTTCAGGTGCCAGAGTCGAATCCGACGGCGGTGGTCATCCACCAAGTACAAGCATACCTTCAGGTGGGGATGTGGAGTGAATCTTCAGCCGATGGGAGTATCCTTCGTTGTCGAAGGTCTAATTACACGATGCACTGCGAGTCATGAGACGGCAATGGCTGCTCCCGCCCACATAAATGTCCACGCTGGCGTTGACCACTCCTCGAGAGGCTCGGCGGGAAATGGCGCTGAGCCCCTAGAAAGGCCCTGGTAGAGATGGAGGTTTCGGCCGGGGAGCCAAGTCCATCAATTGTTCAAGTGATGCTGGGATTACTCACAAAGAACCGCATGAGCCAAGGGGAGACATCAAGAAAGGATCGAAAATCGAGCCGAAATAACAACCGAGGCTGTCGTAGAAAATAGAGGGCAAAAATAGAGATAGTTATCACTAACTAGTTATAAGACAATGAAAGTAATGAAAGTAGTAGTTTGAAACGAACCAAAATCCGTCTCTAGCTTGAAGATATATCTATGTCCTAGCTTCCTCATACCGACGGGAGAAACCCCCCCGCTCCGACTGCGGCTCTCTGACTTTCACGACGGCGAGCCCAAAGTGGCGTAGTCTGACAACACCTTACACAGATGAATCGGCACTCGTTGCTACAAACGCTCTTCAAACAAAACGAGCAATGGCCCACGGGATATGGCGAGTGGCTCGTCCATTCCACAGAATCCAATCTTCCGGTGGACGCCGCAACGGGGACGACGTTCTCGTTTTCGCTCTCGGTTTGAGTATCGGCGGGGGACAAACTCGGGGGCAGAGATACGGCCTTCGGAGAAGCGGCGTCCCTCACGGCACTGTATACTCGGTCCCTCAGGGGTGGTTGTGCTGGGGAACAACGTCTTACTTCCGATCCCCGCCACAGATGGTCCCGTCTGGTGGGATTCAAAGCCAGATTTGAGAGGTGTTGAGGCTGTAAGATAGGCTGGCTCTGAATTGTCACCAAGCTGAAGGCTGCTTTCGAGGCGGACAGTCGATCCATCCATTCCGCCGCCATCTCTGAACTCTGATAATGGTGTTGTTTGCAAAGTAGGGATAACGCCACCTGTTCCAGCTCGGTGCTGAAGTCTTTACCATCCCAGGTCGTGGTGTCGAGATCTCTCAAACGCTCATCGGTTTGTTCTCGAGCTTGCTGCGACACCGGGGCGTGACAGCGGCGTCTCTGATGGCGTCCCTGATGGCGTCCCCGATGGCGTCCCCGAACCAACCGACAGCTTCCTATACACGTAGTATACATGATAGGATTCAGCTCGAGGAGGGTAGAGAGTGAGGGACGTGAGGGGGCCGCCATCGCGAGGATTGATAACCCGTGCACGCGAAGGGAGGCCGGGGCATACACCAGCTATGGTAGTCCTTGAGCCTGTATATACAAATCTCCGCCGGGCTCTGGTCACTGCTGTACACATACTCGTCGCGGGTGTGAGCTCGAGGAGGGTCGTATTTGGAGACGTGCCTATTTATTGATTTTTGTTCTACCCCAGCTCAGGAGTCTCTCTGAGGGTTCGTCGATATCTATGATGTGGCGAGACGCGATGAGCTCGGTCGGCTCTAGTTTCCCTTGTCATGTCATCTCTGAAGATGGTCTGTAGGGGTTACCCACCTCCAACAGGCAACAAACGCACAAGTGTATACCGAAGCCGCCAATTACCGAGCCCGAAGGCGAATCGATCTATCTATATAGACGAAACGACCACTGCCGATCGCTTCGATCATGAGTAAGGCAACGACCTAAGGCTACTCATATGGACTCGTGTCATCCCGTTTGGCCATCTTTGGAGACGGGAAAACGTAGAAGCTAACTTAAAAGGTACATCACGCACGGTGTTAAAGTAAAGTCACAAGTGTGAGGATCGTCCTGACGTCGGGCCGGAGCGTTCTACTCGGCCCCGATAAAAGAATCTATTGTCTCTCTGCTGGAGTTAGCCGGGAGTGCCGGGGGGAGAGGGGCGCCTTACCCTATCTAGGTATTTTTGTGACTAGGAGCAGCATTACGACCTTTTTCAGGCCAGATGCTGCACCCTGTTACGTCCTACGCCCTGTTAGAGGGATGGTGCAAAAGGCGGACACGTATGGTGCGGCGGACTTAGAGGACCGGATCCATCCGCGAGATAGTCCCGATCTTGGAAATCCAGCTCCCCTAGACACCTTCGAGCAGGTAGGATAATGGAATGAGGCGATCGGAGCGACAAAAAAACGGCTGGGGAAACCAGAGTTGAAGGGAAGAGACAGAAAAGGCAAAGAAACGTGAAATCAATAGGGGAAATTTTGAAGGTGAAAGCAGCCCAAAAAGAGATAATAGTAAAAATATTTCACTAGACAAAAAGGCGGATTGTACTGTATCTACGCATAACGGAAAAAACAGGTGTTCCTTGGCCGAAACTCCGATTTCGGTTAACTACAGTTAGATTCAACATCTAGATGTAACAACGCAAAGTGCAAAACTCAGATGTTAAAATTTACATTCCTCGCCAACAATTCAACTCACGGTCTAAGCTAGTCCTTTTCTTGATATCTAAGTTTAATTACTGTAGCTACTATGTTACTCAGTATGATTCATAACAATTACCTGGTGAACCGGGGCGAGGCTATGAGCCATAGGTATCAACTCGTACGGCGGTGGGCAGAGTCGTTCCACCTAGCAACACACCGAACAAAAGGAAGATCGTGACTTGATCGGTTGTACATGTATATGTGTGTGTGTCAAGGTGCCGAATGAGAAAGATGGTGTTGGAGTCCTCAACTTATTGAAAATCGCGAAAGCTGATTTCAGTCTCCATCAGATGGATACATCAATCTGACAGAAAAACGTCACGGGGTTTTCATCAGGCGCTTTTCACTTAATTATAAGATCGCGGTTCTTCTAGAAGATAGATCATCGACCCGTATTGCCGTAGCCAAAGGCGAGCGTAGAACACAAAATTCACATCAAAAACGACCCCTATTCCCTCCTTAGAACGAACACTGTCCCCATAATTGCCGTATTCCACCTTTCTTCCGGACGGTGTGTGACTATGGACACTATATCTCAGCCCTCTCCCCCTCCTCCTGTTCACATTCCGTCTTTCTATCGGCCTCCTGCTCAAAGAGTGGATAGTCGAATTCTGCGGTGATGCTCCAAGTGTAGAGGCCCCCCTTCAGTGACTCTGAGAGTGAGACGTTGACGATGGCGAGACCGGTCTAGTGTCGGTGTCCGTGCTGCTGACGAAATGGGAGTTCCAATCCCACGTGCAGGCTAAATTGTAGCCATCCTCATTGCATATCGGACACGTAGAGATCACTTCCGGCCAATCTGTCCCCATTTCAGCCATCGAATCCGGCGTGAATAATTCACAATGCTCCCCGCAAAGGCTGCAACCCTGGTTGGCAATGTCCACGGGTGCCTGTCCACAGCACTCGCTCACTTGGTCGTGACGATCCCCTACGCTGGCGCACGGACGATTGATTTGGGAGAAGGGGATGCCGGCTTCGACTGGTCGGTCTAAGGTGGCACTTTTTCCGCTCTCGGGAGACGAATTGGTCCATTCGGGCGCTGCTGGCGACGTTTGATCCGACCAGTATTGGTGGAGGACTGTATCCGACTCTTTCACCTCCCCTAAGACGTCCGTCATGACCGCGGTGGGGAGGAGGGTGTGATCGAGCGAGGTCGATTGGGGAGTCGGCTGGCTCCACGTGAGCATCGCGGCGGCTCTTGTTAGTTGCTGTTGCATGTTTTCTCGTTCTTGCTCGCTCTTACGCAGCTGGGCTTTGAGCGCTGCTTTTTCGATCTCGAGAGCGGCGATTTGTGCGATCAATTGTGCTTTCCGTGGCTTCGTGACCTTCCTAGGTTTCGCGACCTTCTGTGGATGAGGCATAATGAGTGGGAGATGAAGATGGGACGGAGTGAGAAGAGAAGGTGGTCGGGGGATAAATCACGCTTTAAAGGAATATCGTCAACGCCTTCTGATTCTTCCCGTGAAAGGCGGTCC